AAATAATTGAAATCGAGGCTTTCGTTGTTGAGATCAAAGATTTCCCAATCATTTCAATAATTGAGTTAATGGAAATCAGGCCGATTTTAATTATTTCAAAAAATTTGTCGACCCAAATAATTCAGATAATTGAAATCGGGCTGATTTCAGCTATAAAATTCAATAATTGGAAGCCGGTGGTTTCTGTCTTTTCAGACACTTAAGGCATAAGGCATGATTCAATTATTTCAATTATTTCGGGTCCCAAATAATTGAAATCCCTCCTTTGCTGGCTCGGATCCAGCAAAACCCCACGATTAACTGAACTAATTGAAATCAGGGGCCATTTTGATTATTTCATAAAGTTCGGTGCTCGAATGAATGAAATTATTTAAATCGAGGGAGCTTTCGCCTCGTGGCCGAAACCTTGTCCCTCGACCGTGCAAGCTCTGAGCGGCATCCCAAAATTCTGAAGCCCAAACCAAGGAGTACACGCTCTACGACCGGGGCTCCACCTTGCCTCTCTATGTCGTGGAGTTTGAGCATCAGGAAGACTGCGGCTGCTCCGTGTGCACTGCATAGGCACATGGCAATGCGACTCGCCTTCCCATCCATCATCTATCGGGCCCAATAACTCGAGTGGCGGCTTGTTACTATCATGTTCCATAATACTCGAAGTCGAAAACCATCTCCGGTATGGCCCAGCGATTGGCAGTCAACCTTACGAGCCCACTCGAGCGGCACTTGTGCGTGATGGCTGCACAGCACCCACTGTCTCCACATCGTAGGGATGCGGAGGTTTGGGATCGACGGCGAGGGTGTGTGCTTGGACCGACGTTAGGGCTCTCATTCCTATAAGCATTGTCTGAACCAGCTAGATTCCTGCCGGAGCTGCATGACCGTGACAGGTGGCCTGAGATAGGTTTGCCGAATGGTTGCGAGATCCGACAAGGACGAGGTTGTTCATCTTGTAGTTGCTGTGGTCAGTGATAATGCCCGGCGACAAATGCCTGCAGTAGTCATGAGGACGATGAAAGTGACAAGCACGGGGGTCGTGTCAGCAGCATCAAAGCCGTACACGGGGTACTTTACTTGCACTTGCCACCCCGACTATTACACCATATCTCTGCATTGGGTCACAAGTCCACAGAGCCTTCGACTTGATTTTTAGTCGCTGCATGGAAATTCGTTTGGCCCAGCAGGGCAGACGTTGCGGGTCGAGTCAGATACACAAGCTTCGGAGTCAGAGTCAGTTAGAGGCTTCCCCACGTTTCGGAGCAAAAGCTCAACAACCATCTCGGGATTCGACCGCTGCGGTCTTATCTGTCTTCCAGTTCACATGCTTTCAGCGATGATAGAATCGGTGTTTTCGGAGGTCGACTTCGAACGAGCCCAAAGCAGTTGATATGAAGCTGGTACATGACCGCTTGACGGCATCTGGTGCCAGACGAGCTCCCTCTCACAACTTAGGCCAAGGAAAACATAGTGTTCTGTGATGATTGGCTCAGTATACCCAACGGCCTGCCCGCAGGAGCTATGCCGAACTATCTTTTAATGTCAAGTTGCACACTGAGCGCAGCGAGTCTTGCAAAGCGGCTTTCGGAACCGCCTAAGGTCTACGTTTAGCAATAGCTGGGTGTGGGCAGAAGCGGCTTCTGAAGGTAGTATCTCCGAAGTACTGGCATGCCACGTGTGTCCGAGAAAATATCTGTCAAGTAGACTGAACGAGTTCAGACTCCTCGCCCAATGTCTTCGGAAGGAAGAGACTTCGCATTGGACTTGTAGGAGCCCGTGCATTGTGTTCTGTTGTATGCATGCATGTATCAGGTCTCACTAGCAGGCCTTGATTCGTCCATACCGGAGCAAGGGGATTTCCAGATTGCATTTCCAGCATCGACTTGCATAGAATGCCAGCATGACTTCGCAACAGCCGGCAACTTGTGTGTGTGCAAAGCGCCCAAACGTGCGTTCTTGAGCACAAAATTTTCAACTCTCCCTGGACGAAGCCCAACGGTGCGTGTCCAGTTGAGTTGGGCGGAGACTTGGTTCCCGCAATCCGTGCCGTAGACTAGATGCAAAGGGTTGTTCCACAGAGGGCAGTGAAGCAGGCCCCATACCCTGAAATCTATAGGTTCTTCCATTGAGCAACCTCGCGACTCCAAAGGCTCTCAGCCTTGGGCATTGCCATTGGCCAGCGTTTAGCAGCCAGTGCCGAATAGCGGAGATGGCAGCCTCGCCTACACCCACAGACCTGAAGCGCCTGAAACCCGAACGATGCCCTGTGGATAGCTAGGTTGGCATGCCCACTTCTGCCAGTCTCCTGCCCGCCGTGCCACCGTGAACAACGTGTTGAGGCTGCTAGCAGACCTGCTGCATTGGCTTCTTGCATCCTGGGCTTTCACAGCAGGAACGGCTTGTTTGGAGTGTGATGGGCACGTCGACTTGTTAGGATTTTTCAACGGAGCCCATCTCAGGATTTGAGAGCCAAGTCACGGCATGTCCGCATAGCAGATCGGCACCGGCATGCAGGTATCGTGGACGTGGTGGTGATGCAAAGTCTATACAGTAGCACAGCAACTTAATTGTCGAATGGGCAGTGCTCTCAAAGGGTGCAAACGTGCTTATGGTGTCCTGTTCTTCACTCTTTTTCTGCATGAATGTGGAAGTGGACCACCCATTGCCGATCGGGCGAGGGGGGCATTTGACTGTCATGTACCGCGATGCTCAAAAGGTGCTTTCCATGAGCCGATTTTATGAAGGCAGCCCTTGATTTTCACAGCAGTGGCCCACCTGCTGACGCCTAGAAGGGCCATTGCTCGTGTACGCTTTCCAGCACCGGGCTGGTATGGAACCTCGACCTCGCGAGAGCGCACTCTCAATGCTAGTTCGGCAATTGGTGCATCCAGTGCCTCAGGAAGCAGCTCCAAGCGCAAGCGCAACAACAGAACACACGACCACGAAATGCATCGGACTGCAGCCTGTAGCACCTCAGACACTATAGATGTAACACAGTTCAAAGAGAGTCGCTCTTCGCTGTTTCAGTTTTTCACGTAGGATACCACGGCCTCAGGGCAGTGCAATGCCCTTCCGGACGCTTTCTGCGATGAGGCGACCACCTCTCATAAAAAACAGAATCCAAAGATGCCCGCGTCGTCTTGAAGTGCAGACCAGTTCCTACGTTCCTGATAAGATGTCAAGTTCTGTTTCTGCCGTTCAAGTGGACAAAAGCACAGAAGTACATGGCACTCGATTAGGCTACATGCCGTGTGTAGTTAGCTGTTCTTCCCCTGAAGTTACAGCAATCAGAACTGGACATGTTCAATTTGCTCGACGAGCGAATTTCTCGTGCTTTGGGCGAGAACCACAATGGGCCGCCCAAACAGCAGGTGACTACCAACTGCAGCGGGCCGCATACCAGCCGTGGATGGATGAAAAGCTCCCGCTCTGAAAGAGGTTCTCGCAGCATCTGTCTTGCTAGAATGCAACACCAAGAAGACAAGAAACTCCATGTCACTGAGGTCAAAATAGCAGGATCCTTATTGCAAAGACCCTTGGAAAGGTACCCATGTGTTCTGGACCCAAATAACTAGGATCCTTTTGATATCGTTTGACAAAGACCCTTAAGCGGGCAATGCTCCATGAACAATTCGCGTATTTTTGAGCCCGGGACAGCGGGTCGAATTCGGGCGGCAGGTTAGCCTTGTGGCCCAATGCAAAAGCACCTTGGGAGCCCGTCGCTGAGTTGTTCAGGTCTATTGCGTAGGGCATGTGGGTTTATGGGACTACGGAGTTTGGGCTGGAGTTTAGGGTTCAACTTGGTTGGTTCGGGATTATAGGTTTAGGTCTGGCGCTGCTGGGATTTAGGGCTTGTTGCAAGTCATGCTGCAAGTCCATACCAGCCTGTTAGCAACAAAACAGCAAGAGTGCTGCTTTAATCAATGGCCCCCCATGCAATGGTATACTAAACTAAACTATGCGTCCAAACCAGCATTCAAGACGGTGCTGTAGTTTGCACAGTTCACTAGCATGTCTCCAAGCGCCGAAACTGTCGAGAACTGCAGGGTACAGGCAGTGGAGTTAGATAGATTCTGCCGGTGTTCAACTGTCAACAACTAGCGACCTTTGCTGATTTTTGCAGCCTCTGCAGTACCTTGAGAAACCCGTGTTTCTGCGGCATTCCACAGCCAAATACTCGCAAGCACCTGGTCCCTCCCTGCGAGTCACTGAGGGAGCGAAAGAGGCGCAAGATTGCAGCACCCCCAAAAACTGAAGTTCCTCGCCAAGCCTGAGCCTCGCTGGTTCCCACAAGGCACCCGGCTCCAAGCACCGCAGCACCAGGCTCCGAGTGTGAGCGCCTCAACTCAGGTGCCCGTCCTGGAAAGCAAAGTCTTGATTAATTATCGACATTCCCGGAAGCCAACATCACTTCAAGCAGCACTTGAGCCAGCTTGCAATTGGAGCTTCGTATTGACGAGTTTGTGAATGACGCCAGGTTTGGGGCAGTTAGGATCTTCTCCTATCGCTCCTTCCTGTTCCAGGCTCTGTCATCCATAGCACTGGGCCCGAGGACTGCCGGCATTGGGGAGTGCATGTGGGCCTGAAGCAGGGTACTTGAGACTAGGCTGTCAAGGCAAGGCAACAATCCCAGAGGCCTTCGCAAGACTCAGACGGTGCGTTGAGGGGCTACAAGTACAAGCGCATTCGAGCATCCGCCTGTTGAAGCCTCTGAATCCAGACGAAAGCACTATTCTAGTTTGCGTCTGACGTCTCCGCTGGATGACGAGGCAGATGTGCATTTGGCAGGCCCTCGTGCGCCCAAGCCTTCGGCTGAGATGGACCTCCCCCAAAAACGCCTCAAAAAGCCCATGAGCAATCGTAATTTGGCAGTGAAGGAGTTACAGCTGTTACCCCCCCCCCTGCCACCCTGCACCCCCAAACTCTGAGCCTCAGCTTTGCGAGGCTTTACCGCCTTTCCCCTTGTAGTGGGCACTCGTTGGCATTGAGCCTGTGCGTTTCGTGCCATGGCCTCTGGCTACTGGCTCAGTGGCTTGCTGGTCACTGCGGTCAGCTTTGCGCTTCCGCAACTGGTTTTCATATGGCTTTCCTTGGACATCTTGGTCAATCTGCTTTTGCTTGAAAGTCCTGGCCAGTACAGGCCCTACAGGGGCACTCCTCCACAGCCGAGGAAGCTTTGGCAGCCTTCTCCTGAGACCAAGCTGTGGACAAGGACGGGAGCCTAGAAGGACAGTCTCGCGAACATCAGGCATCGAAGCTCGCGGCCGTTTGATTTCAGGCGAGGCCGAGTTCCGATGGCTTCAAAGCTTCCCAGTCCTCAAGGACCTTCCCTCAGACCTCAGCGAAGCCTTGTGCAAATGCAGAAGAGGCTTGGAGCTTTGGTTACTTTTCAGGATAAGGCCGGCGATGCTTTTTCGTCCGTGCTGATGTGTGCCTGTTCATAGCTCTTGGTGATGTCAGTGATGCCCCTGTCCTTCTTGCCAGTGGCTTCATTTGCTTCGAAATCATATATGCCTGGCCTGAGGCGCTCCTTGCCGGCAGAGACAGAGCCACCCAGGTGCCTCTCCTTGTCAGGGTCAGCTTGCCCGACTCATTCTGAAGAGGCCTCTAGAATTCTTCCGTTTGGTACTGGGGCGATAGGACTCAGCTGTGACTCAGCGATGTTTCGCGGAGCGAAAGCCTGCAGAGCCCAAAGCAATGTCTGAGGTCATCGACGAGAGCGTCGCCCAGTCCCTGCAGCGGCCAAGCCGCTTCTACGGGCTGTCCCTGCACCTCGCTCCATTTCAAGCGAGGGGAGGGGAGGATCTTTCTTCGTGAAGAAATTTCTGGCATGGGCTCACTGAAGTTTCCAGTGTTGAGGAGGGCCCATGCCTCCCGAATACCGACCGTGTTTGACAGAATCTTTTGAAAGGGTACTTTCAATAGAGAGACATTCCCGAAGTGAAGCTCAATCGTGCGAGGCTGCGTGGAGCCATCGAAGGCGATATGGTGCCTCTCGGCCTTGGTCTAATCTCGAGGCGAGTCTTCACCAACCCATGAGTTCACAGCTTTAGAAGATTGAGACCCGAGAGCTTAGGGCGCTGATGCGCGAGGATGCTTTGTACCTGCTGCGACAGGGCCGCTTGACGCCATCAGGCGTGGCGATGAAATGGGGTCTCACGGTCAGACATGAAAAGGGCTTCGTAGTGCTAGTATAGACAGGCCGCGATCATTAAATATTTCATAACTCCACGGCTGAACAGGGTAAATGGGGTTTCGAATTTCGAAGATCAGCGGACTGTTCAGGAAATAGATATTCCGTTGTCGAGGAGTTCTGCAAAAGCCTCAGTAACCCGAGCAGTGGGAGTTGAGTTGTGCTGCTCATTGCATGTGTCCTGAAATGGCGTGGAGTCTGCTGAAAGTTGTGTATGTTTTCTTGGCCGGCTCTTGGGCAGGTGACCCGAACGAGCCGCAATTGTGCCTGGTGCACAATAATCAGTGTTTTGGGTCTTACCCACTCGCTTTTTCAGATTCTGTTGAAGTTGAGGCTTTGTTGCACTTATTTTGCGAAATCCACCAAATGTGTTGGAGGTGGAACCTGTCACACCAACAACACCTTGGAACCGGAATTCAACCTCCAAGGTGAGCACGGGAAATCTCACATTGCCACTACCCGTCTAATCCCGTCTACATCACTTCGTCTTCATGGTCCCTTTAAGCATGGGAGACAGAACTATTTATGCCGCATGTCGGGCGCTTCGATTCACCAGCTAGACACCGAAGGTTCTCTACAGTCTCGACAACATGGCCAGCATGTAAGCAAAAGCAGATGAGGAAACATATGCTGCTGCACTCAGGACTGAGCAGTACAAGAGACAGAGCTGCAATTTAGAAAAGGTTACAAGAGCTGCTGGCGGGGACTCCAAGCCTCCAAGAAAGGCATGCTTTTGGATTGTGTTGAGGAGATACCTGGGCAGTCTCCCAGTGCTGACCATCCTGGATCCACAGCGAGCTGCTGCTGCCGGACTGCAGAGGATCCGATTGCGGGAGTTGACACTGCTTCAAAGGCCCCCACTCCCCCTGTCTCTCGCTTCTCCTCGCTCGCTCTCTCCCTCTCTCTCTCTCTTACTGTCTCTCCCGCTCTCTGTTTTTTGTCTCTCAACTCAGGCGGAAGGCTTGGTTGGTCTGGCCTATGGAGCAGCGTTCCTGACAGGCGGCGCGATTCAATGATATGGAATATCAGCATCACCACGCCATGACTTGTAGAGTGATTGGAGGGCGTCTGGAGAAGCTTTCAGGAGGTTCAGAACGCATCAGTCCAGTCCAAAGACACGTATAGGCGGGTTTAAGGGCGAATACATGCGCGGGCCCAGTCCAAAGGAACGTGGACGCCCGAACAATGCGGGGAACCATCTGGATTAGTTCAGGGTGATGTGGCTTGATTTGCCGCAAGGCAAGTTCTCGCCTCAGATCTGCAGCCTCCCCAAGCATGCTGGCAGAAGAGCAGGAAGTTCCACTTGCCAAGCTGCTCTGGTGTCTGTGCTGTTGTCCGGCTGTTTATGCACCCATGCAGCTGAATCTCAGTCAACGCTTTTGGCTGGGTTCCAACAAGAGACTCTCGACTTTTCACCCCCGCATAAGTTTTTAGACGAGGCGTCTGTGGCCGCTTGAATGAGCTGGGGTCACAGCCCCTGGAGCCCGGCACGCTGCAGTCCCTCAGCGAGCATGGTTTGGGGGCTTGACAGTGAGACTTCGGGATGTCGGCTTTCAGCCACCATGGAGCTCCAGAAGCAGACACGCCGCGCGAAACGTCGATTGTGGGGAAGGGACGGCGACGTAGGCGCGTGTCGCGAGCTACTCGAAAGGGACTCGAGTAGTATGAAGAGCAAGCGCGAGAAAGGGATCAAGAAAAATTGGAAGAGGGGAACAAACGGTTGCACAAGGATGGGGATAAAACTTTGTGAAGCGGACGGCCGTTGAGAGAGGGGACAAGAAGCAGATGTGTGAGGAAGGATTAGACTTGCAGACCGGCTGCACACGGTGAGATTGAACTGGAAGTAAAGAAGCTGATAGAGAGTTGAATCTGTTGAGTACAGGATCCGAGCAGAGGTAAGTGCTCCGTTCACCCTTGACTCAATGAGTCAAGGATTTGAGCCTCCACAGCATGGGAAAACAGAGCAACGCGCACGACACGAAGATAAGTTGAGAGTCGAGAGCTGTTCGTTCGAAGGACTATTTTTTGCTGTAGGGAGTGGAGAAGTTGAGAAAGGCGAGGGGTGCACGGAGTGTGGAGCTCGATATTTAACTCGGATCCCCGCCAGTCAGGGGTTCTTCGAGCCGGATTCACGGGGTGTGCCGACTGCCATCCCAAGGCTTGCTTGTTACGATGGCGAGGGTGTGGCCTACCATGTGCACGAGGCATGGGGCGGGGGGGAGCTATTTAGCAAGAACCGCAGTGCAGCTGCATTGGCATGGCACCAGAAGCTGGCGCATCAGAGTCGAGAGGGTGTCCGTTGTGTGATGCAGGTTGTTTGAGCAATAAGAGGACCGATGCCCACACCCCAGAGCCCAAACCACGAGAAGTCGGGCCGGAGGACTATGTCCCACAGAAAGATTACAACCCGGAAGATCTGCCAGAGCATCATCGCCTGGCCTACAAGCGGCGAGTCACCGCCATCCTGCCGCTGTGCTGTTTGGTTTTTACGCATCACGGCCTCTTCACGTTCCCATTTGGCACGCTTAGACCCGGCTGCGTCGAACTTGGAGTTTCGGAAGCGAACACTTCGACCTCCGGCATGCAACGAACAGTGGCCCAGGTATTTGCAGGAGGACTGGAGGGAGAACCTGGGCGGCTCATTCCGAGCCCATGCAGTGCGGCCAGAGAGGGCTCCTTGTCACACGTGGGGGTAGTTCTTCAAATTAGGGTCCCTTTTGCGGTCCTTTTTATAAGCGTGCCGTACTATGTCATGTTGGGGACCTAGCAGGGGATCATAATCTAGAGAACTACCCATATGGAGGTTTTACAATGTGTAAGGAATCCAGGCGCCAGTCTTTCGCTTTGCGGTATTGCCGGGGGTGGCCTTTGTAGAGATCTGTGTTCAGTTCAGTGTGAAAATGGAGCTCTTGGTTACGTCGGCAGGATCTAGTCGAGCAGGGCTTCGCTCGTGTAGAATATGAGAATTCTCCGAATCAGCATTGGAAGATCGTTTTCAATGTAACTGCAGACACCCTTCCTGTCGGGCCTCTCAGATGTTGTGGCAGTTAGAACTATCGCTTAACTAAGACGCAAACATGAGCAGGCAGCACGGAAGCAGAAGCGGTTTCAGTCTAGGATTTTCCCCGACATTTTGCATGGTACCATTCGCGATCCAATCGCTCTGCATACATGGCCGAAGCTTTGGTCACAAGGATGATCCTCCTCCTGCTGACTATGTGGATGTGCTGCCTGAGACTTGTTTGGATTTGCATGACCATGGAGCTCTGACCCCAGTCTGACTCCAGAGAACCTCGTTACTGAGGTCATGATACAAGCTTGCCTGCAAATTTACAAGGCTTCCATAACATCAATTGAAACACCGAGCAGACAAGAGACCATCCAAGGAGGGCGGCTCACTCATCCTCTTTCGGTCGGACATGCCGCACGAAGTGCCGCCCGTCAGAGACGCCGTGGGAAAGGGAGGACAGGGGAAGAGGGGAACAGAGGTTGCCCATTAGGCGCCTGTATGCAGGGATGCCATAGTTGACAAGCTCGATTCTCGTTCGCTTTCAAAGTCGACAGAAGCATCTCGGTACGAAGGAGTGTCTCCATGCAGGCTTCACTCCCCGGAACTGCTGACTGCATGCGTCCATGGCTACACGATGATGCATCGTAGCATGTCCCGACATGTCCCGGGTTTGCTTGCTCTTGACCTGTACCGTTGTGCAGAGGCTCCCGACTTACGGCCAGCGCTTTGCGCTCTCCATGTGGTGCCATGCGGACGGGTGAGCTGCATACAAAAGAAGCTCCACATGCCGAAGATGGGTTTTGATAATTCAGGGAGTCAGGGGTTGGCTTCTGAGCTCATGGCAGGGCTAGTCGTAGCCGTGATTGATCCAAAAGCTGCATGGTCGCTTCGGGGTCGTTCTTGCCGCCGTCCCGCGCATAGCACTGGCCAGCAAAGAGGACTAGCCGCTTCACTAGCCACCAGCCGACATGCCCTGTGTGCAAGTCACATGCGAGCCTTGATCGTTCAACCTCTGCAGTCGAGACCTATAAGCCACTACATAGTCACTACATGTCATTGATCTCGCCTGGAAACTTGTTCCTCGAGTTTTTGCGAATGGGGTCCTGTCAGACTGGTCATATACTGAGTGCGACCGAGACCACTTACTTCAATCACTCTTCGTGGTTCAGTAGAACAAAGCGTTACCAAGTGTAGCATCCTGGGTAGTTACTGGCATGCACGGCGTCGCCGCGCCCTCATGGCATCAGCCCTGACGGCCGCTGGCACCCTGTTGGATGCGGAGGACCTTGACATGAGAGGGGCTTCTACAATATGTCGACAATAGTTGCGGGTGAGAGACTCAATCGGCAAGATTTATGCAAAGCATGAGTAGTGCATGGTGGGCCGTCAGAAGAGGTCGAGCCACTTGTCTCTTGTTGCAATGCGAGGTAGCGGACTCGCTCCCACAAAGCATAGGAACGAAGCAGGTTTGCTCCTCCTGAATGCCTTGAAAAGCATAGTGTGACGAAGTTACATCAGGCACAGGGAACACGCAAGCCCTCATCGAGCCGCGAGTGTGGTCAATCGATTGCTCGGGTTGTCGGGAGAAGTCGAACGTGCTCTGCCTGAGTAAAGTCCTGCTTCCAAAAGCCCATTGTAGAAATCGCAAAGGTGTGCTTCCATGCAGGCTGCCCAATTAGCGACCACCAGCCACAGTGCACCAGTCTGCAGCTTTGGACTGTTGTTGACAGGCTTTGGGATTTACCTCTTGTGCCTGATTCACCTTTCGGCTCTCGTCAGCCTGTGGAAGTACCACCATCTTGCATGCGCGTCCACAACCACGGAACTGTTGTGGGAACGAAGGCCACCAAAAGAATTGCCATTCACTCCTGATGCTGATATGGCCTTTCGTGGTTACATCATAAGTTACATCCATCTAAAGTGGTTGACGGCACTTCTATCACCAGAAGTTTCCTCCATTAGGACACGACAGTTGCCGCAAGGTGGCTCCAAACTTGGCGTGGTGCGGTCTGTTCATCACCCGTTGCTTCGTTCCACATCCACGCGTGCAAACATGTGACAACTATGAACTCTCTCGAAGAGCCCAGGCTTTTCCGTGCCAACTGCGGCGGCCACTTTGTCGAGGTCCTTACCTGGAATGTCATGCTGCGTGGCCTGGACCTCAAAACCCCCTTACATGTTCGTAGAGCTCGGAAGTTCAGGCGTGCAGCCTGTGAAACTGCACAGTTTACAAAATGCCACGTCGGGCCGAGGAGCTGGTATGTGTATGCTATTGCCTGTTTTCGGTCAGAGGCTCCTGGAAGCAGATGGCCCATAACGAGTCCGCGAAGGATCAGGAATCAGTAAGCTTCGATGTTGCAGATTCAACTTCACATTCCTCGGCGGTGATGTTGCGAGAATTGTGCTTCTGTAAGCAGAAATGTCAAGATGGGTGAAGTATGATTGTATTGCGAGTCGAGCTCACTGCTCGTTTCCTCGCGCACTCGGTGTGTCGAAGGATGTTCCGAGCAACTTCAGGCCAGCTTTTGCAGAGCTGTGTGGAAGCAGCGCTCGGACGCTAGGATGCTAGAGCCCCAAATCATCTATCTGACCCGAAGAACCTTGAGACCAGGTGGAGGCAGAATCTGTAGAGTTGCTCTGCTCAAGCCATGTGCACAGCAATCTGGACGTACGGCTCAACAAACAGGACAAGGCTGTGCCAAAACTTCCTCCAGGCACCCCAATCTATGCTCGCCACAAAGTCCTGTGCAGCGAGCCCTCAAGTCAAGGCAGAAACCAGAAAGCCGGAGTCGGAGTACCATTAGCAATCTATGCCGCTGGTTGAAATTAGCGAGGTCTCAGTTGTTCTTCCTGTTACGACCATGGCCTCTCCAGACATCGGGTGAGCAGTGCTTCAACATGACGGCCTGTGCATTTCAGATCGATGACCGCGTGACCATCGTGCGGACAAAGTGCCTGGGAAGTGCAATGCACACTCCTCGTAAGGCATTGGGTTGATCATCATACCCTCAAAACCGTGAGTTGACAAGGCCCGCGGCGATTTTGCACCAAGGCACTGTGGCACAGTGAGATATGTCGGGGCTACGGATTTCGCTCCTGGAATCTGGATAGGCCTCAGACTGGACGAAAAAGCCGGCAAGAACAACGGCTCTGTCAAGGGCAAAGCTTCTCGGCCCTGACTAATTCAGGATTGAGTGTTAGTTGTTGCCCCAGCTCAAGATCGCCTAAGGTGCCAAAATCATCCAAAATCACTCATGACTCGTTGGGCGACCTATAGGACCATAGTACATAGGAAATATACTTACTGTACGTTGTAGCAGCGTAGGTCTACTTCGAGTGCGAGGACGAGCATGGCATCTTCGCGAGGCCCACGTCGCTCTCCCCGGCCGACACGGGACGCAGGTTCAGCAAATCCTGCCTGCTGCCATATGTTTCCTGGCAGCAGCTGCAACAAGCGCCTCTCAAATTGCCGATTTATCCTGTCAGCCTATCGAATGACGTTGTGGCAAAGCAGACCCCCTCACCACCCGCCGGAGCGGACGAGGGTCGCAGCCAAGAGGTTCTTCAGGGCGAGCAAATGGAGCTCCCGAACGCCATGGAGACCACGGAGACGGAGACCAACCAGCAAAAGCACCTGCTGCAGCAAAGTGCCATGTCGCTACAACGAGCCCTGGAATTTCAGAGAGCGGCAGGCCAAGGCGGTTTGCAGAAGCCAGGCTTTCTCCAGGCCCTTTGCAGATCGTGCGGTGCGAAGGTGTCCGAAGTTCAGGCGGAGAAGCTGTGGGCTGGCTTTCTGGAGCAGAGTGAAGCTGGCGAGCCAATGCGGCTCCCGACCTTCTGGGCTATTTGTGAAGCTGTTTTGCGTGGAGATGCCTGGGCTGCCGAGTTCGCCGCCCTAGCCGAGGAGGAGTATCGGTCTGAAGCACCAGTGAGTTCTGAGGCGCCAGCTTCTTTCGTTTTGCAGCAATACAAAGGATGTTGGAGTTCAGTTCAATTGTTGAGAGCGGAGCTGTCCCCTGTGCT